AGAAATGAGGTCACTTGACATCAATGACATAAGACTTCCTGACTGTCTACTACAAAAAACTTTGCCTGACTCCGACGAGGGAGGGGCGATAATAGCGGCGCGCCTTCGGCTCGATTCAGTGCTTGAAGTCGTCGCTATGGTCTACAAATCTGGATGTAATTTTTATTATTTGTAGTATACGTTGTACTACCATGATTGAAGATGAATAAATTGAAAGTTTTACCGGAAAAAAGAAAGATGAGAGGTGATTTTTTTCCAACGCTGATGTATTTGATTTCTTTGTTTATTCATGCTTCATTGAATTTTTTGACTGTCGAATTTTCTCTAATATTTTTTCATGTGATAGTATTTGATGCTGCAATTGTGTGCCAGAAGTTAGTTTTGTGTTAGGATCTTAAAAAGTAATTACTTTCTGTAAAGTCATCTACTTCAATAAAAATAATTAATGAAGTTGCACAATATGCTTGTTATTGCATATTACCAATGCAAGTTCTACTAAATCTATTGTAAGTTTTGTCATCAGCTTGAGTTTACTCCTTATTTTTTCCTTTTAGCATAATATCAATGCCCGTAATTCATTCTACCTTTACAAAAATCCCAATTTTCTTTTATAATGTCTTAGTTATTATGGCCTAGTTCGCTTTAGTTGATTTTTTGGTCGCCAGATTTTCCCAATATTTGTGCATGTGACAACATATTTGATGTTGCAATAGTGTGCCACTACTTCGTTTGGTGTTAGGTACTTAAAATGAAATTCATATTGTAAGCAACCTACTTAAATCATAATAATTATTGAAGTTGCACTACTATATGCTTCTTATTTCATATTATGGAACAATGCAAGTTCTACAAAATCTGTTACAAATTTTGGTCATCATTTGCTTTGGGTTTTCTTCATTTTCTTTCTTCTTCTAGCGTAAACCAATCCCATAATTTATCGTTCCTCCAAATAAGTTTTTTTATCTTTTACATTTTGTCTTATGTCTTCGGGTTTTTTTTTTGCACGTAGTCTTATGCCTTTGTTATTCATGCTTAGTCAGTTTTTTAACTATCAGATCTTTTCACACACACACACACACACATATTCTGCACAACACTTCGGCACTGCACGTTCAACAGAAGCGCACTGCATCATTGTGACGACGAGCACTGCAATAGAGACTAGTGAATTTCTCGTCGGAAAAAACTGCACACGTTGATTTTTCGGTAGTGTTTTCGCTCTATTTTTTTAACCGTTTATCGGAATGAGGCGTGTAATTACCGTTGAAAAGCTATGGATTAGGCGCAACTTCGACATGTTGAACACTTTTTAAGATTCCACACGGTTTGAGAGCAGTTTTGAAATTGGCGCGTCCCATTACGAGTGGCAGCGAGCGTTTTTTCGCGATTTCTTCTAAACCACTTGTCGGAAGGAAGCAAACGATATGCCGTTGGATAGATATCGTCGAGGCGCATCTTTTTCATATATAAATCTTTCTCTAATTCACTAAGCTTTAAGAGCAGTTTCAAATTTACTAAATCGCGGAACTCTGTTTTTCAAATTTTTTGAAATTTTTGGTACTGTTTTTGCTCCAGTTTTTAACCGTTTGTCGAAACGACACATATGATACGCCGTTGGAAAGCTACGGACAAGGCGCAACTTTCATATGTTGAAATGGTTTTAAGATTCCTTACAATTTTTAGTTAATTTTGAAAATCGTGCGGCTGACTTTGAGAGGTAGCGGCTGTTTTTTCGCGAAATTTTTATGAACGGCTGGTTGGAATAATTCAAATCATACCCCGTTGGAAAGATATCGACGAGACACAACTTTTTCATGTAGAACACACTCTCTAATTCCTTACTGTTTAAGAGCAGTTTCAAAATTAACGAAAAGCGGACACTGTTTTTTCGCGACACCAAAATCGTCGTCGGACAGAAGAACGCACTGCTTCAAACTGAAAACCGTACTGCAACAGACAGTCAAGTGAATTTCATGATTTCTTTTTGTCGGACGTAAACTTTCTCGCACAAGTTTTTTTTGTCTCTTTTTTCAACATTTTTTTGAACGAGAGTGGACCGCAACACTCCCGAAAGTGAACCGCAATACCACCAAAAGCGAACCTCATGAGTTTTTGTTGTCTTTTTTCATACTTACTAAATTTTTACGTGCATTGACCAAACAAGTGGACCACAAAGACTGAGCAAGTGAACTACATCCAATATAGAAGCGAGCTTCTTTGAGATATTATTTTTCCCCGTTTTACAAGTGGGACAAGTGAACCACGAAGAGTTTTATAGCAAACTGCATGGGACAACAAAAGTGAGCTTCAAAGCCACATCTATCAGTTTTATAGCAAACTGCATGAGACATCAAGACTCCTCGTTGAATGCAATGAACCACAAGACTCCTCGAAGTGGGCTGCATCAACACATTTTTCTCTCGAAAATGAACTATTTAATGCTTGTTGAAATAAACTTCTCAACAAATAGTTTTTACACACAATACATCATATCCCAACCGGATACATTTGACAGACAAAAAAATCCACAAACTGCATGCCTGCTTGCTCCGAGCTGCACGCTGTACACACCCGCATGGCACCACAACAAATGACGACATGCAACGCCAAGGCGTCCAAGCTACCATGTAGATGTGAACCTCATGCCGGCGCCAGCCGAACTACACTGAGAGAATTAACAAGTTTCATTAGAAACTGAATTCACTCAAATCAACAGCAATAATCTGGAAAAATACACAAAAAATGTTCTGTAAACTGCAAGCCCTTTTGTCGGGAACGCCACAGTGGTGAGAGAGAGGCACTCCCCGGGCTCCTTCTGCTGAAATCGCGCGTTGGAGATGGTGACTGTGCGCAACCGTCCATGGAGAAGAGTGAGGAGAGGAGGGGGTCCGTCCAGATGCCGTGGTGGCCGGCGTCCACTAGGACCAATCAGATGTGTGGACGGCGGCTCGGTCGAGGTGGCAACGTGGGACAACAGAGGCGTTGACGATGGGACGCCAGATCGAGGGGGAGGTCGTCGAATATTGGTGGAAAGAGATCCAGCAGGGGATCGGCGGCGGCCTCCACCCCCAATCCCGACCGCGGGATACCGCGCTGGGTCGTTGGCGCCCCAAAAATTCGAGGGGAGGGGAAGGGTGGCGTGCCCTACTGCGGGTCGTCCAGGTCGTTGCAGATCGAGGCGAGGGGAGGGTCGGCGAGGCCCGGGGAAGGGGAAGGAGGTGCGACGGTGCTCCTCTACCTCACCTGGATCCGGGGCCTGCGAGGGGATTGAGGAGGGGAAGGAGGTGCGCCGGGAGGTGCGGAGGTAAGTGGAGATGCGGTCCAGTGGGGGTGAGGTGGGGTGGGGGAGGATGCGTTGCGGGAAGAGAGGCCGAGGCGGC